ACAATAAATTTTTTATCGCCTGGAAATTGGATATCAATATGTAGATCATAACAAAATTTTAAGTTAAGTTTTGTTTCTCATTGAAATGCATGTGCAGATGAAAACAGGATTCATTTGTTTTTGTGACCCTTATGTAACTTGAGAGAGACTGAGATCAATCGCTGCTTTTCAGAAACAGATTTTGTCCTCTGACATGCAACAGCACTAATTAATGTGCCACTCTCCTGGCAGCGACACAGTGCTGACCAAACCCGGCTTATAACGCCGTATTTTGTTTGTGTCAGTGACCACAGAAGTGAAACATTTGCTTCATGTTTCTTTGCTTACATGGAAGATTGGCAGGCACAGACAATGGTTTTGAATTCTGAATATTATTCGCTCCACATCAAAATAGCAGTCTGTTTCATTATCTACACAAAGCTGCCATAGCACGTTTCCTTTTGAAAGGAACCCCAAAAGAAAAAGAATCTCAAGGATATCTGGTTCCTGACTTATTAAACTTCATTACACATGTAAAGGTTACACATGAATGTCTTTTGTGAAGCATCCTTCTTGTACTGTGTGACATTCGTATTTGCAAACACCAGCATGGCACAGAATGCCATTACTTTGGTAACCCCTAATGGCCCAGCAAGACCAGTCAAACTCCTCTATTCCTGAATAAAAATGAGAAATTACAATCTAGAAATGAGGATAACTTCTGCATAAAAGGCAAAACCAAATGATCAGCATCTGTCCTAATTTTATGTGCTAATATATACTATAATATAGGATGACATCCTCTTATACTTACACAACACCAGTATTGTGGAATAAGGTTCTTCTTCTTTCTAGTGTCCCCAAGATTATTTGACTTGTGTACATTCTTGCTTATCTAGAGGATGGCCTTTCTTTTACCAAAACAGTGATTTTAGTGCTCTTTTCAGGACTTTACTTTGGACACTCTGGTTAACCTATTCATTTTTTCCTTCCAACATCATGAGTACATCCAAGGAGGGTTAATATTAGGGGCTACTGGACTTGTTGGGAGATACTCAAAGACGTTTTGCCTCTCATCCAAGAGGCTTTGTCAGTTCTAACTGACTGGCAGGGAGTCCCAGGTATTTAACCTCTGTAACGATGACAGTCGTTACAACAGCCAGGAGCACTAACGAACCAAGTGCTATCCATCACCTTGATAACGACCCCACAGAGGTTAAATACCTGGCACTCCCTGCCAGTCAGTTAGAACTGAAAAAGCCTCATGGATGAGAGGTGAAATGTCTTCAAGTATTTTCAGACAAGTCCAGTTGCCCTTGATTTAACCCTCTTTGGAGAACTATGACCTGGATGACTGAGAATTTTCACAGGCATCATGATATACAGTCTCTCAGCTGAATACTCTAAAGCTGCAAATACCAAACCAAACTATTCTTCAAATGTAAAAATAACTCGAAACAGCACACGGTATCTGCACTATATCTTATATTCATGAATGCATGTATGAATGTGTGTGCAATCAACAGTTTGCATGAAACTCTGTCTCTCTCTCTTGTGAAACGCTTAACACTGCCTATGTTGGTCTATTCCGCCCCAAGTAGTACTGTCTCTCTGGTACAGTGGAGTTTGAAACTGGGTTTACAACTAAAGGATGGTCAAACTATTCTCTTAGCCACCCTTCTTCCTAGTCCTTGATGGATGAAAACTACTGTATTTAAGTTATATTTCAAACTAACAAAAGCTGCTAAAAGCTATCAAAAGTTTGAACTATATTTAATTGCCACAAAACAATCAAAACACAAAACTATATTACCTCTAAAAGACATCTTCCCATCTTGCCTTCTCCACAGGCCACTGCTGTATAACTACATGTGTCAATGCTCCGAGCGCAATATTGAATTTTGATGGCTTTTTATATGACTGCTACAGTCGACTCATTTTAACCTCATTTTGTAGTTGTTTATGTTGTTTTGTGGTTGCTATGGCAACTGGCTGCTTGTAGAAGCAGCAGCCGGTAGCTCCTTCAAACTTCGCTTTGTTTTATCTGTGTTATTCCGGCTTTATTGCCAAAACACGTGCTACCTCTGACATAAATACAGTCACTGGAAGATGAAGACAGGGTTTTTGGATTAAAGAGCAGCAGACCGTGATCCACCTGGCCCAAATAACCGGACCAGGAGGCACTGTGGGTGAGGTGATGGCTCAGAGGCCCAGCTTGGACTTAATTCTGCTCCTAAAGAGCTGGTCTGGACAAAATTGGACTCACGTTGGCCAGACAACGGAATTCAGAGACTGCTGTGCCCACATCGTTACAGAGACTTGCCCCATCAACATCCTGGATCAAGCACTCAGCAGGTGATCCATGTTCCAGGCTGTCAGCGGAAGACTACGGCAAGATGAGAGGAAGTGGACTCTGTGTTTCACATCGATGATGTGTGGTGCACAAACCTAGTCAAGAAGGACTCCCAAATGTTTCCCAAATGACTGTTTACTTTGAAGATTAAACTTTTGATGAAAATTATCATCTGGTTGCTGCTGTTTACATTCATCCCAGATGCAAATGCAAAAAATGCACTGTGGAATGTTCAGGGTATATACGTGTACTTATATATACAAAAAATATGTATATAAATAACTATTGTTTTATTTTATTTGATATGTTAACATATTTTAATATAGGCCTACACTTAATTACAGTATATGTTGTGTGTGTAGCACAAAGGAACTACAAATTTCTTTTCATTATGCAGCCTTGTGCTGTAGAATGACTAATAAACAACCTTGTATCTTTTACCTTGTTTCTGATATTTGTAACAGGTTTCTATTTTAACTACGTCTGGAAATTACCTACGATGTATTGGGCTTGTTTTCAAGGTTTATGTGTTTTCATACCTAAGAATTGTATTCATATGCAACTATTCAGATTCATTGATTTTTTTTTACTGAAAATATGGAATGTGGAGTGATGATAGCAAAACATCGACATTTATATCGTGTATCATTCATCGTGACCTTTTGTAAAGTTAAAGAGAATAATATTCCAGATGGCATTACACGTCCCTTCAAAATATACTCTGTTGGAAATAGAAGCTCAAATTCATCCTCAGCACTGCTTCACTGATTATAGTTTATGCTATGTAGCATGAGGGAGTTACAAAACTCATTTTCACTATATAACCTGTTATATTGTGACAAATGAATGTACATACCTACCTACCTTCCTACCTACCTAAATATAAAATGTGGGAGATAAGGTTGGTGTTTTTAAAAGTCACAGCTCTCTTGCTGATTGTCTCTTTGACATCATAATAGTGTCGAAACCGACTGCTTCATTAACAGCAATTTAATCAGGGCTCGGACTGACTAACTCTATTGCTGCTCTGATTATTCTCAAAGTGCTCGGTGTGTGAATATGATCTGATCTTCGACAGAAACACGCAGAGGTTCTGGAAGTGCATAAAATCTTAAAGGAGCTCAGCCTCTTCAGGGGATAGAGACTTAACGAGCTCAACAGCCTTTGAGTTGCCTGGAGACAGTGGCAGGGTTATAAAGCATTAAGGAGGGAAATCAAGTCCCCCTGAACACAGAAAAAAAGAAAGAAGCTGCAGAGATTCTGACTAAGCTGTGGGCAGTGGCTACAGAGGCTACAGGGCTGCTGAGGACAAATGGTGAAGGACTCTTAAGAAGAGGTAAGATTCGGGATCAATACAGGCGACATAAACAGCAATCACTAAGGAAGTGACACTTGATAAATCCTATTTAATGCTGTATCCAGACTTAAATCTTCAGGAAAAAATTCCGTATAAAGATACTGTTCATTGAATTAGAGGCTTAGAAATGACATTTCAAAGTGCCATGCCACTGTGCGGACCATTTCCTTTCTTAATTACAGAGTGAATCACAGCACTGTTTAATAATATGCGGTGTCAAGCACTGTCAAGAGGTATATTTCTATTACTAATCTCTTTTCACTTTTTTTCCTGCTTCTGTCTGTCTTCCACCTTCACTTCCCTTTACAAAGACTCCAAAATGTGACAGGTGTGTTGATGGGATTGTAGGATTTTGTACCGCCTTACAGGGAAAATCTTCCATTGTTTGGCATCCATCTTTCATTCTCCCTCCCTCTCTGATGATCTGGAAAGCCTTTGGCTGAAAAGTCAAATCCTCATTTACTCCTTTACTCTCTTAATTTTTTGTAGGCTACTTGTTAAAGGGGAAGCCAGTAAAGAATAATTTATTCAGGTGCACGAGGAACTTACATTTTACAAGATACTTTACAAGATATAAATTATGTACTTTAAATTGTTAATTTACTGTTTCATGGTGCTAAACAGTACCTGAATGCCTGAACTCTGCACAACCCCACTCTATATGCAAGTTCTTATTTACATAAGTGTGACTTACCATAAAACTTTGAATAATAGCCCAAGTGAAAAAGAAATATACTTAAGTAGCACTTTTTCTGGATGCACTTATCACATTTTAATTGTACTATAGTATGTGTATATTAAATGTGTTATTTTGGAACAACTTAAAGTATGTTAAGTGTCATTTTAGAAACTTAGAACTTTAGAAACAACATTTTTTAATATACTTAGTTGTGTTAAAATGGACCTACTTTAAGTACCTTTACTGTAATTTAAATATACTTCTTTAAATTTAACTTAAAATACTATTTTGTGCTATACTTGAAGAACAGTTTAAATATATTTTAAACTTCACATAAATGTGTTCCCTGAACATTTTTATTAGCATTTCAGCATATTAGTAATTTATTACTAGTATACTCCAAGAGCCACTATTAATATCTTAGGAAGCTGCTTTATGAAACCATTCAGTATGAGAATAATGCATTAAAAATACTTTGCAAAATGCCCTTTTAGCATAATGATAAAAATAAGTAAAAAAAAAAAAAATTACAACACACACATATACAGACAACTAAAAAACTTTAATTTTGTGTACATTACAAAAATAAATTCCTGTACATTAAAAGGTACAGCAGCATGTATTACATCTTGACCAAAATACCTTCAAATAAAAATAAAATCAGTAAAATAATGACATATGATCAGTATTACTGAAAAGTACACTATACACATCCCATCATTAATGTTACCCATGGGGGTCCCTCATACAGTCCTGACTGGGCACGGCTCAGATGACCCCACAGCAAGCCATCCCGCTTCTGACACCATATGTGGCCAAAGGCGAGACCAGTCACCCTACCCAGATTCAAACATTGGTCTGCAGGGTACCAAACAACTTAAACAGCAAAGCCAAAGAGCCAGACTCGTTGGTATGGCAGTCCAAGTGCTTACTCAACTATAGTGAGGGTACTTCGTCACAAGCATACTGTAAAAATGGTGGAACCAAATTGAAACTGAAAAATGTCAATCCTTATCCTTGGAGTGGAGGGTCGGTTATCTTTGAGTAGGACTTGTTGCATTTTCTGCGACTGCAGACACTATGGGATTTGGAAACTGCTTTATCACACAACATCTGTGGAAGGGAAAAGGAAATATTTTGTCTATACCAAAGCAATAATACCTCTAATTAACTAACAACCATTGTCAGATTTTTTATTTTGTTTAAAGTTGCTAAAACACAATATGATGTGTATGTAATATCATGTCTAACTGTTCTAATAATGCTAACTGTTTAGGTTCAGGTGAAATGGTTTCCCACAAGGGACCCCTCCCAGTTAATGCTCAGTTTTTTTATTCCAACATGATAAAAACATTACATAAACACTACTGTACATTCAGCCAAGGAGCTGTATATCATAAAATGTTATTAAACAGGTACAACAAATAACACAAACATACAGACTTGCTTAACAACAGCGCTGACTACATATCATTTCACATTAACACAGCAGCCAATTTGTGAAGTACAAAAGTAACAATATTTTAAATAAAACAATTTTTTCACAAGAATATTTGTTTATTTAGTCGGACCCCGTTGACATGTAGTGAGAGCAATGATCGTGTGCAGGAGCCAGACATACCTTTGAGCACATTGAGCTTGTGAGGGTCCAGCTGGTCCTTTGAGGCTTTCGTGGCCTCTATGCCATCTTTGAGTGAGGCAACGATCCCAGGAACCCCAAAAAGAAAAGAAATGCAGTTGCAAATGAGATAAAATAAATATTCAGTTAGGCCAGTACTTCCACCTAATTTAGTTCTTCATTTGAGTATCATTATAAAAACTGTAATGCTATTCTTATAGAAAATCTTTATTAATATTCTTTATTTAATTTTCTTGAGCTAAGGCAGGAAATTCCTATTCTGGGTTTAGCATTACGTTGGTTAAAGTTGGCAAAGGGTAGGATCAACTTTTAAAAGATGAATACAGGATCTATGACCATACAAATGTACATAAAGTTGGGCAGTATTTTACATAACATCACATGCTATTATATCATGTGGTCAGGCATTGCAGTACACAAAAACATCATTTCAAGTGTGTCTTCTCACATACGCATGTACACTTTAACATTGCTGTTATTGGTCACTGTAATGATTACCCCCTCCATGGTTGCAGTGAAGAGAAATCTCTAAAAAACAGTGTACCTTTAGAATATATCCACTTTTGACTAGTCTAATGCAGATGCTTAGCTGATGATTCATAGTAGCTTCAGCTAAACTTTAGAATGAATTCATACAAAAATGACAACTGTGGTGATGTCTTTACAGACTATATGGGCAGGAATAATAATGATTATATTGACCAATAACTTACTGTAAACATGGACAAAAAAATGTGAACCTTTAGCACACAGACAGTAACATATTAGTTGCATTTATTACTCTGATAAAGACCTCACTGGTCATTTTCCAACAGTGTAAAAGCAGAATTGAGGGCTCATACACACACATGCACAGGCCTGCCTTGTTAAAATCTCATGCATCAAATTCCAGCAACAGGTTACTGAGATTGTATATTATTATATAACATTAAAAACTTCCTTACAGCAAAAAGCAATACATTACTCAACGTTAATGGCTTTCTTTTGTAACGCGTTACTCCCAACACTGTTTAAGGCAGACGAAAGTTGCTGTCTTGATTATGAAGCTATTAAAATGTAAACTAACGTTAGCTAACAAATATATTAATCCATGTGTTAGCATTAGCTAATGCACACCAGAGCTATCCACCATGGAAAATATTTTCAAACCAGAGTGAGCTCAACTTTAGTTAACTTACACAATTGTGTTGTCCTGCTAACAATAATAAACTTAATGTTACCAAGAAAGACTTTTGCTGGTAGTCTCTGCGTCTGTCCTCTCCTGCTTGTACTTGCCAGGCACGCCTCTTTAGCTCTTTTCACATTTAACTTCTGCGGGGAGCTGACCGGATGTTCTTCTCTTCTGTGTTCCTTTCTTATTATGTCTGTGTCCATCTATGGAACATCCAAAGTGACAGAACTGAATGAAAGAATAAATAAATAAATGGGGAAATAAATGCAAGAAAGAATGAATGAATAAAAGAATAAATAAATAAATGGGGAAATATATCAAAGAAAGAATGAATGAATAAAAGAATAAATAAATAAATGCAGAAATATATCAAAGAAAGAATGAATGAATAAAAGAATAAATACATACATTTGCTTTTGCCTTTCCCCAAGGAGACCTATTGCTTTTTCCTTCCTCTTCCTTAACGGTCAATCAACGTGACTAAGTCAGGTCAAGCAGCCGATGACTGATACTATCTTCAGTGTGGATATGCTGTCCCTGGAAGAGTGTTATGATTGGTAGAAAGTTTAGAAGGAGTTATACTGCGTTCAAGCCCGGTCAGAACTGGGATATTTCCCAGTTGAAACTTCAGACTTCCCACATCAAAGCGTTCCAAGTTCATGGTGGTACATGACACTGAAAGTGAACGAAAACCATGGCTAACTGTGACAACGTGTACACACAGTTGCACCCTCAGCAGTGTTTTAGGTGATAATTCAAAGGATGGCAGTTTAACTGCAACAACTTAATATAACATAAATAGCCTATAGTTACTAGTTAAAGGTTCAGTGTATAATATATCTGAGGATCTATTGACAGAAATGTTGTCAATAATGTGTGTATAAAGACCTTGCATAATGAACCCTTATGTTTTTATTACCTTAGAATGAGCTATTTATATCTACATACACGAGGCACCCCCTGCTTTGGAGTTCGACATATTGTGTTATCATGTTTCTACCGTAGCCTACAGCGAACAAACAGCGCTTTCATCACTACCTTGAAAGAGAAGCAACAGAAGAAGTAGCAGCAGAAGAAGTAGGAGCAAGAGCAAGAGCAAGAAGAAGTTGTACGTTTCTAACTACTAGGTAGTAGTAGAAGCTCTCCTTTATTGGTAGTGGAATTTTGGAGAAAATGGAGGACCACAGCTATTATTTAGCACAAGAGCCGACGGAGGGTGTATCTGCTTCGAAGTAGCGAAAGCATGATGAAGCCAGACTTATACGGGAGTGACGCAGGCAGAAATCACGAGTAAACATCGGTGTGGCTTTTCCCAGATGGAAGGGTCTAATGAGGGAAAAATGTTTTCAAAGCGACACCGAAGTTGCCAGTTTTCTGATGGACAGGTAAGGTATTCCAACTTTAGCTTTGCAAATGAAAACTGTTGTTTGATATTGTTAGCATTAGCCAGAAGCTAGCCATAGACACTGAGAAGTGACTTTTTCCTTGTCAGTGGTGTAAAATATGTAGTTGGATAGTTTCATGTGGTTCTTCTCCCTCGCTGTGTTATGGCTTTGCTATGTGGGGATAAATGTGCCGGTTACGTTCGTGAGACAATCAGCTGATTAGTATTATTGACCGCAAAACAGTAACGTTACCTACAGCTAACAGCTCATATTAGCCAGCTAAACCTTTACTACCCTGTTAGAAGAAATATGTAACGTTAGTTGGATTGTTATTTTGAAGGTTGTTCTCCAGCGCTTCGGCTTCGTTTAGTGAACAGAAATGTGTCTTTTGGGTTTGTGAGACAATCAGCTGATGATTACAATTAGCTAAAAAACCGTAACATTGCATGGAGCATGGTAGCTCAGATTAGCAAGCTAAATGTTTACTGCTCTGGTGGAAAACGTTTATTTTTACTGCTAACAGCATTACGATAACAACACTGCGTGCTTATCAAGTGACTAATTATGCTTATTGTCAGAATTTACATATACAAAGTATTTGTTTGTATTGCTTCTAGGGTGCATACAAAGGTTACCACAAGCTCAAATTATGGCACTCAGTACTAATTTGTGTTATATTGTAGAGCACCCTTGATCCTCACCTGACTATGGCTTTGTAAACTTACCCATGATGTGGTTTATAATGGACTGTGGTACAGAAACAGGGACATTTTTACACACTCTTGGCTTACGTTTTCCATGTTGTCATACTTGCACTAGATGTGATAGTTTTTGGGATGTTCAATTTATTAGGCAAGATGAGCAAACCCTACAAAGATGTAACACATTGTGGATTACAGTACAGTAATGTATTACAGTCAAGTAGCACTTCATTTATTGAGGCTGCTGCTGTTTCTCCAGCTACGAGACAGGTCCTGCAACATCAACTCCCTTGAAGAGAAAACCTTTGCAAGTCCCAGCTCCAGCATTGTCTAGCATTGGGGCTTCTAGTGGAACAGACCGGTAAGTCATGCATAACAATATATTAATTTTGTCCTAATAGCTTTGATTAGAAACATGAACAGTGTGTAAGTAGTACTTCCTAATTACATGTATTATTTTTCAGTGATATTATTTGAGAACTTGTTTTTATCTGAAAGTTGTCATTATGTAAAGAATTGATTGGGCAGATAAAGCTTCATCTTACTCCCTTGAAAGAGATGATGGACAGAATGGTTTCAGCTCTGATGAAGAGGATCTTCCACCGATTTCTATATGGTTTGGTTAGTTATTTGTCAGTCTCAATTTACAATTGTTTTGTGGTGTTTGTTTACTACAGATTTATGTGCCTCAATGGAATGGGTGGAGCACTGAATCTATCGATGGACTTCCTTGCCTGCACATGAAGACGCTCCTGATGAGCTGGCCTTCTGAGGACTGGTGCGCCATGCAACTCTGTTGCACCCTTTGAGATCAACATCACCACCAAGGGCACAGCAGCTACTATCGAATGGGTAAGTCCAGACAATCACAGAATATCACTCTCTTTAAATTAGTATAAAATGAAAGGTTATACCAAAAGCCAGTGCTGTACATGACAAAAGAAAAAATGAAAAAAAAAAAGTTTCTTCTCTGTGACTTTTAGATCTGTCCTAATGGACACAGCTTGTGGAGGTGGAATTCCCAGCCTGTGATGAAGTTTGGGATGCAAGCTGGAGATTTTCTCTTGTCCACCAACATTTTGTTGTCTGGCAACAACTACGCAAAGGTTGCCCTCTTGTTCAAATTCATGAACATGGGGATGGTGAACAGGAACACTTTCTTCTCCATTCAGGACACTTACTGCGTCAATACAATAAAGGACTTCTGGGAAGAGAGAAGGACAGAGGTTCTTTGTGGCCTTCAAGGGAAAGATGTTGTTGTCCTAGTTGTGTAGTTGATACTGTATTATGTAACATAGCTATTGAATACACTAAGCAATGACAGTATGGAAACAACTAACTGTTGTTTCTGTTGAATTATATTTAAAAAAAATTTCAACGGATGGCAGAAATGACTCTCCTGGTCACTGTGCATAATACTGCAGCTACACCACCATGGAGAATGACACCAAGGACATAATTCATGTTGCCACCATAGACAAGCCGCAAACATCATGGAACTCTGTCGTCATGGAGAAGGAGGATTTCATCCAGACTGGACAAGCTTACATCAGAAATCAAGCTAGTGGAGATCTGCACAGATGCTCATGCCCAGATTGGTGCCCTTATGAGTAAGTATTCATGTGATATATTGTATGGATGCATGTGTATAACAGTAATATAAATATTATAGTAACATGACATTATTTACCACTTCATAGACCCAGAAAAAGGCAAATACAAGGCCCTTGGAATTCATCACAGTCTGGACATGTGGCATGGTGCGAAGAACCTTGCCAAAAAAATAGCGGCAGTAAGTGTAATAACTGGCTAATGTTGTGAAACAATTATTAACCATAAAGTTACTATTCTATACATCAGGGTTATTGAACTATGTGCAGTTGATGGATGACAGTATTGAAGTTCTCATTGCACTCAAAGACAACAGATTTTGTTTACTTTCCTCTGCCAGAAGATGTGTTCATTCTAGACATTTGGTGTAGTCATTTAGTGTTTTCTTTTTATTGGGGGGGGGGGGGGGGGGTTGAACATTTACACTATGTTGTACCATATTACATGTCACTGAATGATATTTACATTACAATATAGTCTGTAACTATATTTGATGGCACTGTCTTCAGCAGGACCGTTATTCCAACCAGCATCTGATGTGGAAGGATCCCCATAGGAGATCACCTTGCATGTGTCCTGGTACTTCTCAGGCAGGATCACGAGGGAAAGAACTTCAGTTCACTGACAAAGTCATAGCTTTTACTTTTCAAAAAGAGAAATTTATTAACATTAAATTCTGTTCCTACCCTCCTCCAATGGTTATTTCATGTTTTTCCAATTTTCATCCAAGTTTCATCTTATTCTGCTAAGTCCACTGTGACCAGCACATATTATTTTCAGTAGGTAGCCTAAATTACAGTTTACAATTTGAACAGTAATGATAAGTAAGGCTACAGCTGTCCCCTATTATGTAAATATAAATAACTAAAATTGGTATTGGAAATGTTATGGCAAAGTTTGAAATTCTAAACACATGTTCAAATGTATATAATGAAAATAAAAATACCATGTGCTTCTATTTCTTACCTTTTATTTTTTCGATACCATAGAACTGCAGTTGAACAACTATAACACTATATAACTATACAACATACATCAAATTTAAATAAAGAGGGGAGACATATGAATAAATATATATAGAAATGTAATAATAAATCAAATGTTAACTATGTACATTTGTTTGATGCCTTGATGATGCTGAGGCAGGTTTGTGAGTATTTGTGTGAAACTGTATGACCATGCCAGAGGGCCTGGAAGGAAATTCACAGTCCAGGAATAAAACTTGTGTAGTGTCCTTGAGGATCAGGGAACTTGTCTCTAATCCTCCAAACACAACAACTAGGGACGACAAGTTGATTTCCCTGGCCTAAAGCTCCATGTTGCCAATAGATGAAGTGTCTATAGGCACCATAGCGGTACTCCCTGTTGTCATCCCCAGGCTCCCTGATGTTGCCTAATGCCATAATGTCCTCCTGGTACCCCCTGTGAATGCGAATAAAGC